AGAACCAGACCTGCTGGTACCCTAAGCTCAGACTTCCTCCACCTCTTACCCAGTTCCCAGACTATTTCCATACATTTACATATTGTTACAGAACTGCACCTGTTTTCCTGGTTCCAAACTCTATTACTCAGCTTGGGATGCCACAAAGAAGATGGCCATGGAATAGATAACCTAGACAACAGAAATGGACTTTCTCACAATTCTGGGGGGCTGAGGGGGGACTGCTGAATGTACTCAAAATGGAGATGGCTGGCGACGGACACGGTGAAAGTCGACTCTCATCATGATTCTGGGTGGAATATTCAAGACTCTTTGATAAGGGAAGCCAAAGAGGCAGAAGGGCACGCCACAGCAATCCTACCCCTGGCCAGAGCTCATCCTCTGCACACCCATTGACTCATATTCCTGTCTACCTGATGTGGTGGCTAAGGGGCCTGCATATATATATATGTTAAGATGATTCATTCTCTTGTAGACTTATGGGTCTTTCTTTCTCTCTTGGACAGGTTCTTGTTATGTAGTCTTGGCTGGCCTAGAACTCTCTATACAGACTCTCAAACTTACAAGGCTCTTCCTGCCTCTGCCTCCTGAGAGCTAGAATTATAGGCATGAGGCACCATACCCATCTTATATATAAGGTTGGATGAGCTAGCCAAGGACACCAGACAGGTCCCCATGATTCTTTTCTCTACTGAGTTCTGAAACTGAAGGGATAAGATGTGTGAACATCCTTTCAGGAAATGGAGCTCATGGGGACAACAAAAAAGGTGATGGTGTCTTCCCCACCTGCTGAGCCATGGAGGTACTGAGAGAATCCCACGTAGCTTCCCTGGGACAAATTCAGCATGATCTGGCAGATTCCACATGGAAGGCCATGGGGTGCAGCTCTCTAGTACAGGATCTTCTTTTTGGCGATGCTAATTATAGAGGAAGCAGTACACACACGTGCCGATCTCAGTGCTCTTGCTGTACTCGGTATCCTGGAATCCACATCAGGGACAGGCAGAACTTGGTCCCTCCCTGAAGTCCTGACGGGTGAGCAAGAGTGTCAGGAATCACCAGGAGGGAAGGTGCTGACCTGGGAGGCTTCTCTTCCTTAGATGGCAAATCCCAGCTGAGCTCCAAAAAGGGTTTCTCCAGGGTTGGGGAGGAGGTGGATCAACACATTGCTGTTGTGGCAGGGGGGCGGGGCATAGTCTCATAAGAACACTGCTTGCAGGTTCTAATGGGCAGTCAGGAACTGGGAAGTCATTGTAAGGAATCTCACTGGCCATCTTGGTGAAGGCCAGGCTTCATCCCAGGGTCTCCATCTTAGGGAAGGGGAAATCAGAATCTCTCATCTAAGAAGATCGATTGTTCAAGATCCAGTGAAGGATTGATTCTAGCGAGGGACTCACGGCCTGGCACCAGCCACGTTCTCCTGAAGTACTTGGTAGTAGTAGGGTTGGTTTCACGTTTGATTTATTCACCATTGGCCACTTTTAGATCTCCATCCCACAATCCAACTGAATCTCATACCCATAGCCATGTAAACACCACACCTTCTTCACTTAGCCAGGATATATTACTGTAACCAGGGTCTGAGGCCACATTAACTAACGTCATAACCTAAGCTGACAGATCTCAGAATGGGTTAAGTTCTCGAAGAAAAGAAAGGTTCCCAGACTGGGGGTGTAGCTCAAAGATCGAAAGCTCAGTGCTTGCCCGAAGTGCCCAAGGCCCTGGATTTCATCTCCAGTCCCAGGGGAGTAGGGAAGCCAGGCTTTGCCCCAATGTAGTGTGTGACCTTAGGTGAGTTGGTTCACTTTCTGGTCCTCAGTTTTCTTACAGATCTGTAAAGTGAGCCAGCTGAATCACACTACTCATAAAATTCCTTGCACTGTTGACTGTCTGACTGAATGCACTTGCTTCTCAAGGGTGCAAGAGAGGAAGGTAGATTGGGATCGGAGACTCCAGGTGTACATCTCATCAAGGAGAGAGATAGTGGCCATGTCAGAAATTTCCATTTTTCCTTTAGAGCACAAATGGATGTGTTTTGGAAATCTACCTTTTCTCTGAGGGATGGGGATGACATAATTATTAGTTCTCTACTTAATAGGTGCTTTGTGAGTGAGTGCTCCTTGAGAAACGCCTACAAGGGTGGTGATTAAGCCAAGGAGGATCTCAGAGTCACCCGAGCACCGAGGGGAAGTGACTCACGCACGCGCTCTGTAAACATTTATGAAGCGTACACCTGATTTATCACCAAGTAAAAGTTCTGAGGCAGTAGGGTACCCATGCTACCCTCCATCCTCAGACTCGCCGAGAGCTCATTATTCAACCAGAGTCTCTGGGTGAATTCTTCCTCAAGAAGCAGGAATTTCAGTGCTGATTCTTGGCACGGGTTAATGGCGTGTGCATGCCGCTGACAGAGCCTCACATAGCAGCTAAAGGTCTTAGGAAATGCTAAATCTTCAAATGTCTAGTACCAAGGAAAAGAGGGGATCTAATACCAGCTCAAAATCATATCAGTAGGGGACTGAATTGTCTATGTCCCCGGTTTTCCGTACATGCTTTTAGAATGTTGGAAATCCCGGGATTTCTGAGTATACCTCACATCCTGGCGGTGTTCATGATGGCACTCTATTTTCCTCCTCAGTTCTGGGGATTGAACCCATGGCCTTGACCAAGCTCGGTGATTGTTCGACCCCTCAGCCACACCTCAGGATAATGTTCACTAAACTGAGTCATTTTCTCACCACTCCAATCAATTATTTGTTTTCATTTTCTGTATTCCTCTCCAGGATTTCTCTGTGTGGGTATGTAATTTTTTGTTTGGTTGGCTTGTTTTGTTTTGTTGTTTTTCAAGATAGGGTTTTTTGGTTTCCAGGGCTGTCCTGGATCTCGCTCTGTAGACCAGGCTGGCCTTGAACTCACAGAGATCCACCTGCCTCTGCTTCCTGAGTGCTGGGATTAAAGGTGTGCTCCACTGCCCAGCCAGATATATTATTTTTATGTATATTCCATTCCATAGCTGACATATGTTTTGGGGCCCTGCTTTTTTTCTTCACGTTATGGCTGAGAGTTGACCCTAACATTACCTCATCGTCTTTATAAACGTCTGCTCATAATGACTCTACAGTGTTCTACCCCATAAATATATGCACAGGTTTAGAAAAAAATACATACTTTACAGAGCTGTCCTAGGTATCCTATCCCGAGTCACCAGTCTTTGCTAAAGAGCAGGTTCTGGGATTCGATAGCTGATCTTATGTCACTTGACACACAAACTAGAGTCATCTGAAAGGAGGGAACCTTGAGAAAATGCCACTATAAGATCCGAGTGTAAGGCAATTTCTTCATTAGGGATTGATGGGGGAGGGCCCAGACCACTGTGGGTGGGGCCATCCCTGGGCTGGTGGTCCTGGGTTCTATAAAAAAGCAGGCTAAGCAAGGCCATGAGGAGCAAGCCAGCAAGCAGCATCCGTCCACGGCCTCTGCAACAGCTCCTGCCTCCAGGTTCCTGCCCTGTTTGAGTTCCTGCCCAGACTTCTTTTGATGATGAACAACATATTGAAGTATAAACCAGATAAACCCTTTCCTCCCCAACTTGCTTTTTGGTCATGGTGTTTCATTGCAGCAACAGAAACCCTAACTAGGACATGGGAAGACCCAAGACCCTCATCCGATGTTTAAACTCACTCAGTGACAACTGGATCCTTGGGACAAATCCTTCCTTGCCTTTTCCTTGGATAAAGATGGTTTTGGAAGAGTCTATATTTCAATTACTGACATCAATAATGCTAACAAGGTTTTGTAGCCTCTTTTCCCCAGGGAAAGATTAGGAAAGAAGCCGAGGCTTGCTGGGAAGTGAATGGAACAGAAGTCTGGTCATATGACCCAGTCATCCAACCTCCAATCTGGCTCGCTTCATGGAGTTTCCTAGTTATTACCTCTGTCTGTGTTTTCAGTGGAAAATTGAGGTCACTGAAGGTTAGTGTCTGGCCAAAGTTCAAAATGCCAGCCTATGGTGAGTCTACCTGAGAATTCTTGTCTCTTGGCTCACTGCACTGAAATGATGTCTCTCATCAGAGCACTTAGAGACACTCATCCAGAGCCACCCCAGACTCCCACAGTTGGGCTGACCTCCCAGGTCAGGCCACAGGCTGTTTCTAGGATGGGCTTTGCTGCTCTTACTGTTCATAACCCTTCCCACCAAACCAAAGAAACCCAAGCTGCTCCATTCCAAAGTTACAAAGCATCTACCTACTCTTCATCCTTCAGGGATGACTCACCATTCCCCCATGCCCACCTGCGGTACTGACCAACAGAAAAGAAGAGAGCTCTTTGTGACTTTTATGGGGCCCTTTGAGATAGGGAAGCATGCTTGGCAAGGTAGTATAATGTGAAGTACCGGGGTGGAAACAGCTGTCTGGCTTTGACTCCAGATTCTCTTTGCAGGGCTCGCAATAGCCCACGCAGGGCCTCTGTTCACATTAGGAAAGTGGGTTCCCTCTTGGTGGGTGCAGCCCTACGTGGGGAGCTGGGACAGTATATCGGAGGGTGGCACCTTTCTGAGTAGTTAATGCCTTGCAAGGCTGTGTGTAGCTGCTCTGTCCATCTCGTGCTGTTTGGTGACTCTCAAGCTGCTCGCTTTCTGAGCCTGTTTCCCCATCTATCATAGAAACACGTCATAGTACCTACTTCAGGAGTCGCTAGAGAGTTAAGTGAGCACCAGTGTGTAAGGCACGTCTCAGGAGTAAGCATGTATTTGACAAAATGGCAGCTGTAATTCTTAGCTAATAAAGTTATGGCTTGGCTTTATAAAGAAAAAAAAGGGGGGCCTACCCTTTTCTTGTGCTCTCTTGCGAGGCTTGGTTTGTCTAGAAATGTATTTTGTAAATGGAAGATAATTATGGAAAAAAGGGAGGGGCACTCATAATAGATTGCTTGTTATCATTTTAATGTAAATGGATTTTTTTTTTTTTTGCTTGCACCATCTGAGGCCGGCATATCTGATATGGATTTCTAATTGCCTGTTTGGTTGGAGAGAGGGTAATTTATAAGTCCACACCCTGTCACGCCCGCGCCTCTGGAGAACACTTGCAGTTTCTTTGGATGTCTTCTTGGGCATCAGGATAGACGACCTCATTCGAGTCGTTGGGTGAATGTTGTTCTACGCCTGCGTAGTCCAGCGAGTGTCACAAGTGACTCATTCAAAAGCCAACACTGAGGAATGTGTCCGATTTGCATAGCCTCATAAATGAGCCTCCTCAACTGGTTTGGAAAAAAAAAAGAAAACCCATTTTAAAGAGCTGTCTTGTAGTCATTGGTCCAGGTCAGGTCCCAGCATGCTCAGGGGCGCCTCTCTGCTGTCCAAGCTTCAGGACCAGAGAGACACTGGCTTTCATTGTTTAATCTTGGTTGGAAGGAGACACTCCTAATGTAGTCCAGGGAGGGGGGAAAAAAAACCAATAACAACCTGACAATGAATAAATAGAATAGCATTTGTGTGTTCTTAACGTCACCGGAGGGCAAGGATGGACTGTAAGTAAGTTCACCTAAAACGGGATGCCTGCCTCTTCTTGATGAGCTCTCCTTCACTGTCTTCTGGGGCATTTGGCTCTCTTAACTTAGTAGGCTGCTTTCAAAGGCAGCCTGTTGTCCTTAACAACTCTGTGGTTTTCTTGCCTGGAGTGGTCCTTTCCACTGGCTTCACGGAATATTTTACAATCAAGTCACTACACCAACAAACAAGTGTAAACTTCTGCATCAGGAACTCACCGGGAGTCTGAGGGGAGCCCGCTTGCCTTGCAACTCTAAATGAAGAGACAAGAACAGTCAAAGTCCTCCCAAGAAAGCCTTAACAGAGTATTCCGGATGCTGAGGCAGGAGGATCCTGAGTTCAAGCCGATTGGGGATGGCTACGTAGTGAGTCCCTGTCTTCAAACAGACAAACAAAGAAACTCAATAAAACAAAACCAACAACAACAATATAAAAAAAAAAATACCACTAACAACAACAACAACAACCAGAGCAATGCCCCCCACCCCCGCCCCCATCCAAAGCAGAGAACACTGAAAAACTCAGAGACTCATTGTTAACGTGGTGGCATACCCGGCTCTGGTCCCTCAACCCCTTCTGCTCCGAATCCAATGAGATGGAAGCAAATCTGGAGATGTAAACACAGGATGGGTAACCTGAGCTGGGCCCTCAGGGCTCCAGCCTTGGCAACCGGCTACTCCTCGCAGACGTCCGCTTGCAGAAGTGAATGCTTGCGAGCATTTGTTTGCTGGGCAGAGGAAGGGAGGAGTTTTGTGTCTGGCAGAAGCGAGATGGGAGAGTGGCTGAGGAAACCAAGGGGAGAGGATGTTATCCGCTGTCTCTTGGCCACCCCCTCCGTACAGCACTCACAGCAGGTCATGCGGACTGGAAATGCTGACTGCTGGCATAGACCAGAAAACACGGATGTTTTCCAAGCATGGGGCTTTAGGTCCAAGGGTAACAAAGGCAGCCTCCCACCTCTACTTTGCTTTAAAACCAACCTCAGTCAGTATTTTTTTTTTTAACTCGAGGCTCCCAGGGAGGCCAGAAGGCTCCCTTCTCATGTAGGACATTGTAATAACTCAGCAGGAGTGACAGTGTGTCTCTCTCTGCACTCACAGGACGAGTCTGGTGAGGTCTGGGCTCTGTTGGTTAGGGCTATCACGGTCTGTAAATGACTTTAACAGACTGGAACTCATTCAATCTCTATCCCCCGTGTAGGGAGAGTGCTGCAGAAGTGATCGCCCAGTGGCCATAAGTCTCTCGGTGACAGAGGCAGCATGGTCTGGGCTGGCGCAGAAACCCTGGTCCTCCAGGAGCCTGCACTCAACAGATGATCAGCTATATAAGGAGCCCTGCTCCGCACCACAAGGACACATCACATCGAGTGTGTAGATATTTATCGTTTTTAACGTGACTTGGCAATAGGCTTTCTATGACGTCACACATGGGTGTTTTGTAATGGCGTTGGTTGTGGGTGCTATGTTGGTTGTGGTGTCTTAAGGACTCATTCTGATTACGTGTGCAGCTCAGGGGTAGAATGCTTGTCAGGCATGTCCAAGGCCCTGGGAAGAAAAAGAGAGGGGCGGGGAGGGGGAGATAGAAAAATCAACAAATTAAAACCCTGAACCCAACAGCAATCAAATTTCACTCTTGAAATTAGCTCAGAAGTAATAGTTGAGCGGGATATGTAGATCCACAGTCCGATGCTTGCCTAGTGTGAATGACATTCTGGACTCAGTCCCCAGTACTCCAGATCAAAGAAAAGAAAAAGTAGCAACTATCCAGGAAGTAAAGAACTAGCTACACATGGGACATGGAAAGACTTATCAGAAGTCCTCATTTTACTTCTTAGGCTGAAAGGGAACCCCGCAGGTCAGACCATAGGCTGTCTTACGGAAATGTTTATGTATTCATCCGTGCTCATCTCCCAGAACCATGTGAGGAAATCTGCAAACCCAAATCTGAAATCTGAAGCTCAACCCAAGTCCCACTGACAGGAGTCTTTGGAATTGGAGCTCTGTTTACATTTCTTTCCCCATGCCTGTGAACGCAGCTCCATTGGCCTAACATTGGTGACACCTGGGGTTAGGTCCGTGGCACCACATACAACCTAGTGTAGTGAGTGGTACACACTTGTGACCCCAGCACCTGGGAGGTTAGAGAAAGGATGGTCAGGAGGATCGTCAGTGGTGGACTCTATAACACCCCATCTTTAAAGGGGAGGGGAAAAAAAAACCTCCAAAATTTAATATGTACCAGAGTTAATTTAAGGAAAACCCAAGGAACCGGGAGCCTCTGCAGAAAGCAAGAAATGCCCTCTAGTGGCCAAAAGAAGCCATGACCCATTGCCCATGCTGGACTCTTAGGGAGATGGGAGTTAACATGTCTGTGGTAAAGCATCTTCTACTTCACCAATTCCACCGAAACGCCAGAAAATTAAGCTATAAGACCCATTGGTGGGGGAACCTTGTTCTTGTCTTGTCCCTGAGGGCACCCACCGTGATGCCTGGCCCAGCGTGGTATAAGACTTAAAACAAAGGTTCGGTATTCTACTCTGTGGCCTTGACATCTGGTGACATCAGGAGGGTCCGAGATGGTCTGGCTGTGACCCCCTCTCCTTTTCTTGTCAAACTGGGTAGGTCGACACAGTTCTTACTTATTTCTGCATGATGGGCTCCCTGCTAAGCCATAGAATTACTCCAACAAGTCAGTCACGCCGTCCTGGGAGACTTGCCCTCCGTCTTGATACGACAAATCCTCCACGTAACTCGGTTGTTCACACTGTTCCCAAGTGTAGCCGCTGTGTGGCCCTGTGTGCCGAACAGCATGTCCTACCCTCAGGCTGTGAGTACAAGTGACTAATACGTTATCGGTCCCATCTGCACAGTGCAGCCTTGTGTGTGGCCCGCCAGCCTCATGACCCTAGTGTGAGAACTGCTCTCTTGCCGCGGAATAAAGAAGAGCCCCGCGAAATAGTCACAAAAAGATGGCTCGTAGGTATTTGTTAAATGGAAGGACGAAAGAGGCCAAAGGTTCTCTCAACAAGTGTAACTATATCATTTTCATTTTACCGAGTTATTGTTCGTTCAAACAAACGCCGGAAATTATTATAGACACGGATTAATAAGGGAATGAATAAACATGTCCTTAGGAGTGTGTGCGTGAGTATGTGCAGGTACAAGGGCCTGAGGGTGCCCATGCAGAGCCCAGATGTTGATATATGGAGGCTTCCCTTCCCTTATCATTCTCCATCTTAGTCCGTTGGTCTGTCGCTGTCTGTCTGTGTGTACACGTGTATGCGCAGGTGTGTACCAGAGGAGGGCATTGGGCATCCCTCTCCTGTTATTCCCTCCCTTGTTCCTTTGAGGCAGGATCTCTAGCTGAACTCAGAGCTTGGTTTTGTGTTTTGTTTTGTTTTCTAGCGAGGCGGGCAGACAGCGAGCCTCAGCAATCCCCCTCTCTCTGCTCACGCCACGCGGGGGTTACAGGCGAGCATGGGAGCACACCCAGCTAGTTGCGTGAGTGCCGGGATCCAAACGCTGTTCCTTATGTTTGTACTGTTGAACCGTATCTCTGGGATCTCTCTGTCTTATTTGAGACAGGGTCTCTCCCTGAACCCAGGGCTCACCGGTTTGGCTACACTGGCTAGCCAGCATGCTTCTGGAAGCTGCTTGTCTCTGCCTCCCCAGTGTTAGGATTAGGGCATGCACTGCCATGTGCAGCCTCATACCTGAGGGCTAGGGAGTCTGAGCCCAGGTCTTTATCTTACCTATGAGCCACCTCTTCTCATCTTATTTCTAGGAGAATTACTGCCTGGAGGAGACCATGAATTCCTTAAGGAAAAAGACTGTTTTGATTCATTTGAGGTCTTCATAGTTCAGCACAGAACTCACAAGAGGACATGTCTATTTAATACGCTGAATGAATATACAGGGATAACGTGGGTTTCCCTGGAGTACTTGCTAGTCTGTGGTACCGTAAGCACTCAATCCAGAAATCAACCTAGCAGATGTTCATCGAAGTCCTCCATCAAATAGTGTCTTGGTAGGTGCTCTGACGGTGGAGGTGGGACCTACGGCTAAGGGTATAAAGATGGCAAAGATACAGTCCCTGTTCTTTTGTTTAAATGGTTTTTGTATATTGAGACAGGATCTCAATAAGTAGCCCACACTGGTCACAAATTCACTGCGGTCTTCCTGTTTCAGCTTCCAAATGCTAGGATTATAGGCATGTACCGCCATGCCTGGTGCAGTACTTGCCCTTAAGGAGTGGGATGGTTATCCTCTGGATGAGGACTGTCTGCATTGTGCCTGTGGGGCTGTCTATTGGGGGGGGGTCATCTTCATTAAGTTAATTCATATGGGAAGAGCCAGCCTACTGTGGGTGGCACCATTCCCTAGGCAGAGGGAAAGTGGAGAATTTGAGATGAACACAAGCAAGTAAGAAAGCAAGCAGCATGCCTGAGTTCATGTCTCTACTCTTGACCACTGTACATGTGCGAGTTCTGGGCCTGACTTCCCCACAATGGGGCACTAGAACTGGAAGCCAGATTAACCCTTTCTTTCCGCCTTTGTTGGGGTATCTTACCCCAGCAGCAGAAGTGAAATTATGACAGGGAGCACACACACTGCAGCTCCTGTCAGACACGAGGCCACTGAAGTTACAGATACAGTTATGTAGGCCCGTTGGCCACATTTCAAGTGTTTAGTAACTACACTGGGACTAAAGTCTGCCATGCTGGACAACACAAATACAGAATTCCTTGATTATTATGAAAAGTTCCATTGGATCTCACTCTTACAGAAGCAAATCTGGTGCCATATTATAGTCAGAGGGTGACAACAGAGGTATGCGTCAATGGCCATGGGTCAGGATGAATGGGTTTCAATGTCAGCCCTCACTTGATCCCAGATTCTTCAGTGACATGGATTCTTAGGTTCCTCTCTCTGAGCATGTCTGCTCAGAGGCTCCACTCAAGATTATGGAGTGAAAAGAAACCACTCACAGTGGTCGTGACTTACCAACATTTCAAAAAATAGGGAAATGTCGAGAATAATTTGGGCATTATGGATGGATCCACAGCCCACCTTGTAAAATTCTACCATTCTGTCATATTTGTTTCAGATTTTACATCAGCTTGAGAAAATAAACCACAGACATATTTGGATCTCCTATATTCTCTGTCCATCCTGGCAAAATCCTGGTGGACCTTGAATTTGGTGTTTGCCAATTCCATTCATGGTTGCTTAGACTTTTCATCTAAGATTGGATCTGCAAAAAACACAGGGGATTATTTTCATCTTTTGTTAAAAGGACAAAAGATTTATTCCAGCTTATACTTTGAAGTTTTCATCTATGTTTATCTGGCCTGACTGCCTTGGAGCCTGAGATGAGTTGGCACATCATAGCAGAGCATGTGGCCAAGGAAAGCAGCACCCCTCGTGGCGGTGAGGGACCTGTTCTGTGTCTGTTTTCAGACTTAAATAGGATCACACTGTGTATATCCTTCTGTAGCTTAATTTTTTCCTTAATGTTGTTTAGGAGTTTTGAGTAGGTGTGTGTTGCTGTTTTGAGACATGGCCATGCTGTGTAGCCCAGGCTGGCCCAGAACTAGCCATCCTCCTGCCTCAGCTTCCAGAATGAATATTAGGTTCACAGAATTACGCCACCATGCCTGAATTGACACTTTATTTTGAAGTTGTAGTCATGTTGATGGCTGACAGGA